AAAACAGTTAGCTTTAACGAAAAGACCGTACTAAAGAGCATGAGCCCACAAGAGAGAGGACAGAACCGCTGAGCAGCGTGGGCCATGGGTGAGCAGGAACCTCGAAGCCGGGAAGAGCACGAAAGAGCATGGACCATTGAAGAAAACAACACCCAACCTGTAGTACGGGGTAACGGAAACGTTCCAAACCACGATATTATACGGGGCCGAATGAGACTACGGAAAGGCAAGTGGTTAAATACACGATGCCAAGATCTACGGGGTGAACCACGCTCTCAAAACACGCGACACCAAGAAGCACTAAGGTTGCGGCCACCTCATCTCCAACAAACCATGCCACTCCGCCGCGTAGCGGCGGCGAACGGCTAGTCTACCCCATCTAGTGGAGTCTGGTGTCTGTCCGTCTGTCTGTCACGGGCTAGGGTTAATTAATGTAACGCAAATGCGGGCATTCTACTGGCTGCCGAGCGCAGCGAAGGCGGCCTCGATTCGCTAAAATTGCAATATGTGGTGTACACACTGTATGTGATCAACACATCGTACTTAAATGCACCGTTCAAATTTCATTTTGCCCCATTTTCAACTGTGGGCCGCCACCTCATGCGAAGGGCGCTTCCTGTGTACGCGTTAGTTAGCATAATTAAATAGCGCCGATGGGCACACACGTACAATATCGTCGTAGGAGCCGCTGCAAATTTTTGTAGGCCCTGGTGACTTATATTTCGGCCTCAATCGAAACTTTAGAACTTATTGGATATAGAATGATGTTTTAGGCTTCGTAGTACTTTTCTAATGCGTTTAATTTCAATACTGTTTTGCGTAGTACTATTTTAAATACAATTCATTTTTTACTTGCTGTTATTTGTAGTAGTAGTACACATAATTGCTATATCAACGTTTGATAATAAATAACAAATATATACTATAAATAAATAATGTGAAAACTTTAAATACGACTATTGTGGCTTAACTCCGGGAAAAAAGTGTCACCTTCCTTTGTATTTGCGCACGTAGTGTGCGACCTGAAGATATTGTGCGAGTTTTCCCAACAATATATGTAGCGTACATCAAACGAAATGGAAACAGCGTTTGTGATTAAGTTAGCGCGGAGGCTAAGCAAGAACACAAAACGCGAAGGAACACCGACCCACACTATGTAGACGATGGGATAAAAGAGCAACACGAAGCACGGAAGGCCATGGACAACGATAGAAGTCTTAGCCGATGCAAACCACGAAGTTGTATGCGTAGCGTGAAAGACGGAAGTGCACGCAGCTATGAAAAGGACAGAGGGACAAGAATATGACGGGAGCGTACAGACCACGAAAGGGAAATAGATATACAGACCCCCAGCATGCTAAAAAGGGTGGCTACGGAAGAGTACGCACGTAGCGGTAAGAGTGCATGGACAGCAACTCTCCCATAGCACCACGGAAGAGCACGGAGTACGGTCGCCGGACCAGGCATGAAGCGGCGGGAATCCAAAAACGGGAAGTCATCGAGCATTAGAGCACGTTATCAGGGTAGAACCGGATCTCACCAAGCCAGGGAGCACGATACTACGGTACCTAACAATCACACGGACGACAGACCAGCCGCGACACCACAAGCTAGCACGATAGCATGGGCTGTGCCACTAAGCCATGGGAGAACGCAGCCGCAGAGCTATAGACGTAAAATCACCGTGCCGCGGAGAACGATACCAGTGTTGAACCTGAGCTTACCGATCCACGGAGGACAGTACTACATTAGAACTAGATTGCACGAACGGCGGGCCAGCCACGAAATAAACGGGGAGGTGGGCGCTTGGGGTGACCACGACTGCACACTGTGGAGCACGTTGCCATTGTAAATCACGATAACACGGACAACGCAGATACACTACGTGACCACAATACCATAGACAGCATTACCACACCGTGATTGCACGATAGCGTGATACCGCAGTCGATGGAACCTCACCTGGAGAGCACGATACACGGGCGACGGAACAACACGACTGCATGAAGTCACCAAACCACGGAATAGCACACTTCGGCTAGAGCACCGGCGATGGAAGGCCAACGGTCACGAAATAGTATCTACCACGAAGCCAGTGCAACCCACATAAACGTTTGAGAACAGAGAAAAGTTAGCATTTACGAAAAGGCCGTACCAACGCGCATGAACCCACAAGAGAGAGGACAGAACCGCTGAGCAGCGTGGGCCATGGGTGGGCAGGAACCTCGAAGCCGGGAAGAGCACGAAAGAGCATGGGCCATTGAAGAAAACAACATCCAACCTGTAGTACGGGGTAACGGAAACGTTCCAAACCACGATATTATACGGGGCCGAATGAGACTACGGAAAGGCAAGTGGTTAAATACACGATGCCAAGATCTACGGGGTGAGCACGCTCTCAAAACACGCGACACCAAGAAGCAATAAAGTTCCGGCCACCTCATCTCCAACAAAACCATGCCACTCCGCCGCGTAGCGGCGGCGAACGGCTAGTCTTACCTCTCTAGTGGAGTGTGTTGTCCGTCCGTCTGTCAGTCCGTCCGAGGGTAGGGTTCTAAAATGTAACGCAAATACGCGCGTTCTACTGGCTGCCGAGCGCAGCGAAGGCGGCCTCAAGTGGCTAAAATTGCAATATGTGGTGTACATATTATATGTGGTCTACACATCGTACTTAAAATGCACAGTTCAAATTTCATTTTGCCCCATTTTTAACGCTGGAGCGCCACCTCACGCAAAGGGCGCTGCGTGTGTGCGGGTTAATTTGCATTGGTAGGCTTCGCCGACGTGCACACCGGTACTATTATATCGTCGTAGGCGCTGTTGATTTTTTTTAGACCCTGGCGACACCACTGGATCGCATTTTAGCAAAGTAGTAATTCAACACTTCGAAATACTTAGTTTAATACTTAAAAAATAATTTTACTAATTAAATAAAAACGTTTCTAATAAAACATTTCTCCAATGGATCGTTTACCTCCCATGTGCTCGACGTGCCAGGCGG